TCTTGTCCCACCACATCCCATCACTTTGGGGCTCTTGTCCCACCACATCCCACCACTTTGGGGCTCTCATCCGAAGGTCTTTGCTCCCCCAGCCCCCTCACTTCTGGGCTCTCCCTTGCAGAACGAGCTGGCCAAGAAGGCCGTGAGCGACTTGGCCGCCGTGTACGGGACCAATTACACCTTCGGCAGCATCGCCGACACCATCTGTGAGTGTCCCTCCCTCCCTCCCTCTCCCCTGATCCATCGGGAATGTGATCCCAGCTGCCCTCCTCTCCCCGCAGACACGGCAGCAGGCACCACCGTCGACTGGGCCTACGACCAGGGGGTGAAATATTCCTTCACCATGGAGCTGCGGGACACGGGGCGCCACGGCTTCCTCCTGCCCAGCTCCCAGATCCTGCCCACGGCCACCGAGACCTGGCCGGCCCTGCTGGACATCATGGTCCACGTCCTGGAGCACCCCTACTGAGCCCAGAGCCTCCCCCTTCCCTCACCCCAATAAATCATCACGGACGCTCCCTGCTCCAGCCCTCTGTTTTTCCTTGGAAATGGGTTTTTTTATCCCCCCCTCGTGGCTTTGGCCCTACAAGTGCCCAACATTTGGAGCCCTGAAGGACGTGGGAGGAGGAGGAGGGTGGTTTTTGGGGCAGCCAAACCTAAATCTGGGGTGGTTTTGAGCAGTTTTGCTCCATCATCCCTTCCCCAGGCGCCTTTTTTTCCACGTGGAATGGCCGTCACCTGCTCTGACCTCCGGCCCAGGCCAAGCTTTAAGCCAGTTCCCCAGAGCAGACTTTAAACCAGATTCCCAGGCCAAGCTTTAAAACAGATTCCCAGGGGCAAGCTTTAAATGAGATTCCCAGGGCAAATTCTTTAAACCATATTCCCAGGGCAAGCTTTAAGCCAGGTTGTTTAAACTAGATTCCCAGGCCAGATTCTTTAAACCAGGTTCCCAGGCAAGACTTTAAGCCAGATTCCCAGACCAGACTTCAAACCAGATTCCCAGGCCAAGCTTTAAACCAGATTCCCAGGTCAGATTCTTTAAAACAGACTCTTTAAACCAGATTCCCAGGCCAGATTCTTTAAACTAGATTCTTTAAACCAGATTCCCAGATGAGACTTTAAGCCAAATTCCCAGGCCAGACTTTAAACTAGATTCTTTAAACCAGATTCCCAGGCCAGACTTTAAACCAGATTCCCAGGACAAGCTTTAAAACAGATTCTTTAAACCAGATTCCCAGGACAAGCTTTAAACCAGATTCCCAGGCCAGATTCTTTAAACCAGATTCCCAGGGCAAGTTTTAAGCCACATTGTTTAAACCAAATTCCCAGGCCAGATTCTTTAAACCAGATTCCCAGGCCAGACTTTAAGCCACATTCCCAGATCAGACTTTAAACCAGATTCCCAGGCCAAGCTTTAAACCAGATTCCCAGGCCAGATTCTTTAAACCAGATTCCCAGGCCAGATTCTTTAAACCAGATTCTTTAAAACAGATTCCCAGGACAAGCTTTAACCAGACACTTTAAACGACATTCCCAAGCCAAGCTTTAAGACAGATTCTTTAAACCAGATTCCCAGGCCAAGCTTTAATCCTGATTCCCCACCACCACGGCCCTGGTTTAGGGATCCAGCCCACAGGTCCCTCCGTGCAAAAACGGGCATCTCCCGCTTTCCCAACCCAAATTTATCCTTTCCCTCCCCACCGAGGGTGGTGGGATTTTGGCACCTCCCTGTCCCACCTCGCAGGTGACTCACCCGTGGCCCTTGCAGGTTCCTGGAACAGGTTTTTCCAGGTCTGGGAATGCCGTGGATGGGGGACAGCACGGCCTGACCTTGGCTGGTCCCAGGCAGGGCCTTCCCACGGCCCTGGGAAAAGGGGCAGCTGCGGGCGCCGTCCCAGAGGGATTTAAGGGACTCTAGGGCAGTTTTGGGACACAAGAGCAGCTGTCCCCACTGACCATGAGGGTTCCCGTGCTCTTGGCCGCCTTGGTGGCCGTGGCCACCTGCACCGAGACCTTTGTTGGGTACGGGGGACACGGGATGGGGACACTGCTGGCTGGGGAAGGAGGGGCTGGGTCAGCCCTGAGGGGGCTCAGAGCAGTTCCCCGAGGTGGGGGGATGGATGGGGTGGGAATTAGGGTGGGTCAAGGGGGCTGGAGTCTGTCCCACACCCCCCAAACCCTTTGACCCCACAGGCACCAGGTGCTGCGCGTGGTCCCCACCAGCCACAAGGAGCTGCAGACGCTGCAGGAGCTGCAGGGCCTGGAGCACCTCGAGGTACTGGGGGCATTTTGGGGGTGGGTTTTGGGGCTGGATTGGGGGTTGGGGTTGGGTTTTGGGCTTGGAGTTTGGAGTTGGAGTTTGGAGTTGGGTTTTGGGGTAGGAGCTGGGTTTGGATTTTGGGGTTGAAGTTGGATTTGAGGGTTGGATTTTGGGGTTGGAGCTGGGTTTTGGGGTTGGAGTTTGGGATTGGATTTTGGGGTAGGAGTTTGGGGTTGGATTTTGGGGTTGGATTTGAGGGTTGGATTTTGGGGCAGGACTTGGAATTGTATTTTGGGGTTGGAGTTGGATCTGAGGGTTGGATTTTCGGGTAGGAGCTGGAATTGGATTTTGGGGTTGGAGTTGGGGGTTGGATTTTGGGGTTGGACTTGGATTCAGGGTGGGATTTGGGGGTTGGATTTTGGGGTTTGGATTTTGGAGTGGGATTTTGGGCTTGGATTTGGGGCTGGATTTGGAGGACAACCCCCCCGGCCCATATCCCTTGTTTTACACCCTCCCTGCTGTAAAGCTGGGATGGGGCTGGATTTGGGATGGTGGGAAACAATCTGGTGCTAGGTGGGGGGGGTGCAGCCTGGGGCAGGATCCCAGTTTCTTCCCTCTCCCACCTGGATTTCTCCCTGTCCAGCTGGATTTCTGGCTGGCTCCCCGTGGCCTCGGCTCTCCCGTGGATATCCGGGTGCCCTTCCCGAGCCTGCAGCCTGTCAAAGCTCACCTGGAGGCCAGCGGGGTGTCCTACTCCATCATGATCGAGGACGTGCAGGTCAGTGGAGGAGGAGGGCAGCTGGCTGAGACTCAGGGTCTCATCCCGGTGGGAATTAGGGCCCATCCCGCCCCGTGTCCCCCAGGAACTTCTGGATGAGGAGCGGAGGGAGATGATCCGGAGCAGCCGCCAGCTGCCGCTCTCCACCAGCACCTTCAACTACGAGGCCTATCACACCCTGGACGAGGTGAGAGACACAAGATTCGGGGCATTTTGGGGGGGAAAAAGTGGCATCCTGGAATTGCTTGAGACCAACTCCCCCCTCATCCCTCTCTCCCAGATTTATGCCTTCATGGACCTGCTGGTGGCCGAGAACCCCAACCTGGTGAGCAAACTGGAGATCGGCCGCTCCACTGAGGACCGGCCCCTCTACGTGCTCAAGGTGAGGGGTTGGGGTCTGGGGGGTGACTGGGGAAGGGGGAGTGGGGTCAGGGACAAAGGACAAAGCCAACTTCCACCTCTCTGCTGTCCCAGTTCAGCACAGGGGGCTCGAACCGCCCGGCCGTGTGGATCGACACCGGGATCCACTCCCGCGAGTGGGTGACTCAGGCCAGCGGGGTCTGGTTCGCCAAGAAGGTTTGGACACTCCCCACACCCACCTTCTGTCCCCCAAAGGTCCTACAGCCACTGTGGGACCCAGGGGGTGACCCCCAGGGAGCCCTCAAACCTCCTGTCCTTTGTAGATTGTCGACGACCACGCCAATAACGAAGGGGTGGCCTCCATCCTGGACACCATGGACATCTTCCTGGAGATCGTCACCAACCCCGATGGCTTTGCCTACACCCACAGCACGGTACCGCCCCCAGCTCCCCCTCCCTGCTTCCTACAGGGTGGGAAGGGGAGCAGCACTGGGAGCTGCTCATCCCTGGGAGGTCAAAGCCTCCTTGTTCCACTTCCATGGGATGGGACTGGAGAGTGAGACTGGAATCCTGAACATCCCTGGGAGGTCAAAGCCTCCTTGTCCCTGTTCCCATGGGATGGGACTGGAGAGCGGGACTGGAATCCTGCACATCCCTGGGAGGTTAAAGCCCCCTTGTCCATGTTTCCATGGGATGGGAAGGGGAGCAGGACTGGGGTCTTGCACATCCCTGGGAGGTCAGAGCTCCTTGTCCCTGTTCCCATTGGGTGGGAAGGGGAGCAGCACTGAGGTGCTGCACATCCCTGGGAGGTCAAAGCCTCCATGTCCATATTTCCATAGGATGGGACTGGTGAGCAGCATTAAGGTGCTGCACATCCTTGGGAGGTCAGAGCCTCCTCATCCCTGTTTCCACGGGATGGGAAGGGGAGCAGGACTGGGGTTCTGAACACCCCTGGGAGGTCAGAGCTTCTCGTCCCCATGGGACGGGAAGGGGAGCAGGACTGGGGTGCTGCTCCTCCCAGGGAGGTCAGAGCTCCTTGTCCCCATTTCCATGGGATGGGAAGGGGAGCAGGACTGGGGTTCTGAACATCCCTGGGAGGTCAGAGCTCCTTGTCCCTGTTTCCACGGGATGGGAAGGGAAGCAGGACTGGGGTGCTGCTCCTCCCTGGGGGGTCAGAGCCTCCCTGTCCCATTCCCATGGGATGGGGAGGGCATTCCCTGGCCCTGCCCAGCAGCTGAGGTGGCTCTGCCCTTCCAGAACCGCATGTGGCGCAAGACCAGGTCCAAGCACGCGGGTGCCATCTGTGTCGGCGTCGACCCCAACCGCAACTGGGACGCAGGATTTGGAGGTCAGAGCCTTTCCACTCCCCCTCTGGGGTGTTCCCACTCTCCAGGTGGAGGCTCTGAGGCCATTCCCGGCTCACAGATCCCTGGGGATGAGGTGGGGTCTGCTCTGCGTGGCAGAGACGAGGCCTGGGGGCCCCGCCAGGGTTTGAGGAGCAGCAGAGCGGGGACCAGAAGGGAAAGTCTCTGTACAGATCTCCAGGAGCAGCCTCAGGAGTGTTCCTCGCCAGCCACACCTGAGGGGTGGGAAAAACTCTTGGGGTTGGAAAGGGAAAAGACCCTTTTTCCCTTGGGACTCTTTGAGCCACCCAAGTGCCACCAAAGCCCACCCTGTTTTCCCTCTCCTGTTCCCCACAGGGCCTGGGGCCAGCGGGAACTCCTGCACGCAGACCTACCACGGCCCCTACCCCAACTCGGAGCCTGAGGTCAAATCCATCGTGGACTTCGTGAAGGACCACGGGAACATCAAGGCCTTCGTGTCCATCCACAGCTATTCCCAGCTCCTGCTCTATCCCTACGGATACACTGCCACCCCGGCCGCAGATGAGCAGGAGCTGGTAGGGCCCCTGGGGAGGTTTGGGGGGGAGAGTGGGTGACGTGGGGCTGCTCTTCTCCTCCTTCCAGGCACCTCCATCCTGCCCCATGGAGCAGTGGGAAGCTCTGGCTCCTCTGCCAGCCCCTGGGAATTGAGCTTTGTGATCCTTTTTGTCTGGGGCATGAGGGAAAATCCTCTCCCACAGGCTGGATCCCACAGGCTTTGACTTTCTGCAGCTCACCTTTTCCTCTTCTTTACCTCATCTTCTTCCCTTTTCCCGTCCTTTGGCTCCACCTTTTCCCTTCCTGGGCTCATCTTTTTCTCTCCTTTAACTCACCACTTCCCCTCCTTTGACTCATCTTTTCCTCCTTTTTAGCTCATCTTTTTCCCTCCTTTTCACCCTCTTTGACTCATTATCTCCCCTCCTTCTTCAATTCATCATTTTCCCTTCTTTGATTCATCCTTTCCCCTCCCTTGGCTTCATCTTTTCCATTTTTTTGACTCATCTTCTTCCATTCTTTGCCTCATCATTTCCCCTC